GCTGCTACCAAGGGCTCAAGTAGAAAGAAAATGTTTTGAAAATGATGATGGTAACATATGTCAAATGTGCTTGACACAATGGATGGATGGATGGATGGATGGATGGATGGATGGATGGATGGATGGATGGATGGATGGTGATAAGAGCTGTAAGAGCCCCCAATAAACTGATTTTTAAAAAGAGAGAGAATATCCTTCTAATCATCAGAGGCCAAGTCAAATTTGCTCCAAGAAGTCTCCTACCTTCTTCCCCAGCTAGAATTCATCTCTAATCCCTATGGTCAAAAATCACTCACGTGCCTTCCCAATTCTCCTCCCCTCCTCGGAGAAGGTAGCCCACCTATCAATTCCCTAAATGGGGCAAGTCTTCCTCTTCCCTGTGACACACTCTCTTGGGCTTGGAGCCAACCAGCACTTCTCTCCCAGCACTTGAAACTGAGCAATCAAGGCCACCACACTGGGACCAGACATCACAGGACCCTCTAGATACATGTGTGGTACCGGCTCCTTCCAAAGCTGCCCGCGTGCAGTGTGCTGAGGAGTGGGAGGCATAGAGCCGAATGCCTAGTAGAGAGCAGCAGAGATAAGAAGGGAGTATCGAGAGAAACTGCCCTCTCTCCCCCCAGTGTCTGTGAGAGCCCCAACTGAACATCTTTTAGCTGAGCTGCTCCTGGAGAGGCCCCAATATCATTAATGTGAATCCAATTGCACTTAAATTGGCCCCAGGCGATTTCTGTTCCTTGCAACCAAATGGCCCTGCCCCTAAACAGGGAGGCTCTGTCCCCACAGAACATCCCATGTGCCTCTGCTGGAGGCACTTATGTGTCCCATCCAGGTTCTTTAAGGTGGGTGCCTGATTCAGCCTGGGCTGGACACCTCCCAGGGCAGGGACTCTCCTATGCATTCAGCAAGCAACCCCGGAGCCTGGCACATGCTTCCAAACCCAACTAAACTCCCTGCCATCGAGTCGATGCCGACTCATAGTGACCCTATAGCACAGGGCAGCCCCTGAGGGTTTTCCAGACTGTAAATCTCAATAGGAATAGAAAGCCTGGTCTGTCCCGAGGAGTGGCGGGTGGTTTCAAACTGCTGGCTGTGGGGTTAGCCGTTTAACATGTAGCCACTGTTGTCACCGGGGCTTCTGGCACACGCTTAGATGTTGACAAAAGTTGTTGAACTCGAATGCTGACAATTCACACGAAGGAGGGAATATCATGCAGTATGCACACACTCTGGACTGCTGATGCCTTTCTCCATGTTTTGGTGCATTTGTATTGTTTGTATAAAATTGGTTTTCATTCTACTCACATACTTGGTGAATTGATATGCCTTCTCATTCTACTTGGGGATCACCAGGAAGGCTTCAAGTGGTCTGTGTTTCGCTCTGGTTGATGGGAATGAAGTTTTACCTACAGCCTACTTCCAGCACCCAGCTACTTTTACCCTTGAAATAGATACTTCCCCTGAAGTCTGTTGGGGCAGCTTAATTTTGATGATGTCATTTAAAGCACATTGAAAAGTATCAGCCGGCAAGCAAAGAGCAGCATCTTCCTTCAGAAATCTACTCAGACACAGGTTTTTCAGAGGTAGGGACAGTGGTTCTTCAACTTTCGAGATTCTATAAACACTTTATATTTTAAAATGTACTCACAGGGTTGCCAAATATATACTCCCCCCTGGGTAAGCCATTAAGAACAACATTATGCTTCCAGTAACACAGCAAACATCACTCCATAAAACCAAGGGCGTGTTAACCCCAGCAGTTATCAAGAATGCTACCTTCTCATTTGAATATTGAATACATTTGACTCATGAAAAACTCGTGACAGTTTAGTTTAAATGGGATAAGGCACCTACAGTGTTTAATACCACCTGGCCCATGGTATATGCTCTATATTATTACACATGTATTCAGTTAGTATTAGCCATTTCAGCACAAGGAAAAGTAACTTTTTCATACGTTTTTGCAGAACATTTGCTGAACGTCATTACGGTTTGGGAGGGGGCTGCTCACAGAACAAATCTTTCTGGGTATTGGGCAGCAGCTAATGGCTTTGTATAATGGTTTGAACAGATTTGGGATTCCCAGTAGGTTAGGTTGCTAACCAAATGAGGTTAGCTGTCTGCTCCCGTAAATATGTACTGTCTCAGCAACCCTGAGTCAGACTCGGCTTGATGGCAGTGGGAGGTACAGCTAATAGGATGGGGAGGTGGGGAGAAGAGGATAGTGTGGAAAGCTGAAGAGCCATTCCCATGAAGACCATGACGTCTTTTGTGGAGCTGGAGGTGGTTGGGAAATATTTTAAGATCCAGGATGGGTTATGTGCAGGTGGATGCTTTTGTAGCTCAGTGATGTGAACACCTCCTTCTTCGTTTTCGGCCCCACCCGGTCCCAGCTTCCACCACAGCTACATTCAATGGTGCATTCTTCCTTCCCACTGCCCTTGAGTTGATTCCAGCACCTCTTGACCCCACAGGGCAAGCGTAGACCTGCTCCAGAGTTTCAGCAACTGCAGACAGAGTCAAATTTTCTTCTGGCTGATGGGTTTGAACCACTGACATTATGGTTAGCAGCCCAATGTTTAACCCACTAAACTACCAGGGCTTGTTACAATGATGCATGCGTGTTAGGGATAGTTTTTCTTAGTGACCAGAGGGGAAAAGGAGAATTGTCCCATTTGGGTCCACACAGTGTAAAACTGAGATATTAGTCCAGAGGCAGCGGCAGGAGGCAAAGGTGACTCAAAACCAAACAAAACTCACCACTCTCAAGTTGATGTAGGCTCTTCACGACTGTACAGAACAGAACGTCCTCCTGTCAAATAGGTAGGGGCTGACAAGAACTGCCTGGAAGGTAGACTTAATGTGGTAGTTAACATCTTTATGGGAGCAGCAAGTCTTATTGTTCTCCCATGGAGATGGTGGGTGAGAACTGCTGACCTTGTAGTCAGCAGTCCAATGCATAATCCAGGACAACACCAAGACTCTTTGGAGGTAACTAGGAGCACAGAAATCCTGTGGAATTCCCAGAAAGCCTAGGCTGGCTTTGGACTGTGGGGTTTGAGCTTGGTTCCTCATCAGAAGGCTGGCTTCTCTTCCGGCAGTGGAGACATTTTGGCCTCCTCACTCATGAGGAGCCAAAGTCCTGCACCTACCTCAGTGGGGCAGAACTCTGGTTTTGTTCTGGAATCACCAAGAGTCAAGAGAATCACTAGCTTAGAAATGATCCAGGACTAGAGAGGAGCCCTGCTCTGGCTTTCAGAAAGAACCTAGCTGACGTGTAGGTCAGAACAAGAGGTATCTGGGATATCAAGCTTACTTGAACGCCTAGGTGATGGATCCAAATTTTAATGCAGTCAGAAGTAAGAAAGCCTGGACAAGAAGTGGCCAAAACTCTCAGTTAAGATTGGGAGAACTTAATTATTTATGATGTAACAACCAAGTAGCAGAGGGTGTGAGGTGGGTAACTGTTGATCAGGGCAACCTGGCTTTATTAACACTATGACTTTGGCCAAGCAGTTGCTCTGTGCAAAATTCCCTGCGGTCTTTCCTAAACCTATCCCTCTCCCCACTCCCAGTCTCTCCCATTCCTGTGCACTGGAGAATCAGTGTTGTCCCATTTCAACCCTAGTGATCCCTGCACAATGGCACAAAGCAGTGACTAAGAGGTGAGGGTTTATGGTTAGAGCAGGACCCCAGTCATCGTCCTTAGTCTCTCTGCATCAGTTTGTATCCTTACAGTGGGGAAAAGTCCAGTCAATGCCGACTCATCATACCCTACGGGGCAGAGCAGAATCGCCAGAAAGCATTTCCATGGCAGGCATCCTTTCAGGGTCGCTGAGTCAGCATTAACTCCGTGGCAGAGAGTTTGGCTTTGGGGTTCTGAAATCTTCACCAGAGCAGATCTTCAGGTCTTTTTCCTGGAGAGCCTCTGTGGTTTGGAACCGCTGGCCTTGCAGTCAGCAGTCAATCATGTAACCACGGTGCTGCCAGGCCTCCTCCTGTCAAATGGATAGGGGCTAACCAGAACTGCCTCGCAGGACTCAACGTGGTAGTTCACATGTGCAAGGGTTCAGCACACCACTGCGGTTTCACTGTGGCTCCATCTTCCAATCAACTGGCAAACTGATCTCACTGGCCACTTCTTGTCCAGGCTCTTTTACTTCGGATCGCATTAAAATTTGGATCCATCCACCTGGGTGTTCAAGTAAGTTTTTTTTTTTTTTCCCTCTGCTCTTCCTCCTCCACACTGCCCACCCTCTAGAACGCAGTGCCAACTGGTCGGACTGGTGGCCAGCGGTGGCTGTCTCCAAGGCAGTCAGTCCGCTCGCGTCCTCGGCTTGGGACCTCTCCAGATCCTCTGCGGCGCGCCATGGGCAGCGCCACACTGCACCAGAGGCAACGGACCATGGCCAAGGATGGGCGATCGCGCATCGGAAAAGCACCGAAGGACCGCGATGAGTGGTGCCAGGAGCCGACCGCTCCAAGCCTCATCTTGCGACCCGCGCCCCAGCTTACCCTCGCTGATCCGCACCGCAGCTCAGAAAGTGACAGCCACGTGGAGCGTGGCGCGGCGCCGCGGGAGAATAGAATGTTGACGTGAGGGAAGGGGCGGGGCTGGAAGGGCGCCCGGGAGGTGAAGCCGGAGCTTCGCGTGCGCGCGCCCCGGCGCCGGCAGCCAGGCGACGCCGCTGGGAGCGCGCCCGTTCCTGACGTCACGCGCAGCCTGTCCAATGAATGGCGGCCGGAGAGAGAGAGAGAGACGGCGGTCCCGCCCCCTCCCGCCCCCCCCGCTACACCAGCCGCCTCCGGGAGCGTCTCTGGAGGCGCGGGCCACCGCAGGCTGAAGCGCCGCAGCGCGCCGGCCGGAGCAGCCGGATGAGGCCCAGGGAGCCGCTCGCCCGACCCCACCGCCCCATGTCGGCAAGATGGAGGCAGCGGGGGCGGCGGCGTGAAGCAAGCGGTGCTGTGGGCGCGGGCGCCGGGCCCCGGGCGGCGGCATGGGGTTGCTGCTCATGATCCTGGCGTCGGCCGTGCTGGGTTCCTTCCTCACGCTGCTCGCCCAGTTCCTGCTGCTCTACCGCAGGCCCCCCGAGCCGCCGCCGGACGAGGCCGCCCGCGCGGGCGACGGCTTCCGCTACCTCAAGCCGGTGCCGGGCCTGCCCCTGAGGGAGTACCTCTATGGCGGCGGCGGGGCTGAGGAGCCCTCCGGCGGGGCCCCCGAGGGCGGCGCGGCCCCGGGCCCCGAGACCCCCGGCCCGCCGACGCGGGAGACCTGCTACTTCCTCAACGCCACCATCCTGTTCCTATTCCGGGAGCTGCGGGACACGGCGCTGGCGCGCCGCTGGGTCACCAAGAAGATCAAGGTGGAGTTCGAGGAGCTGCTGCAGACCAAGACGGCCGGGCGGCTGCTCGAGGGGCTGAGCCTGCGCGACGTGTTCCTGGGCGAGGCGGTGCCCTTCATCAAGACCGTGCGGCTGCTGCGGCCCGTGGCGCCCGCCGCCGGCGCCCCGCCCGACGGCGCCGACGGCGGCGAGCTGCCCGCCGCCCCGCCCGAGGAGCTGGCCTTCGAGGCCGAGCTGGAGTACCACGGCGGCTTCCACCTGGCCATCGACGTGGACCTGGTCTTCGGCAAGTCGGCCTACCTGTTCGTCAAGCTGTCGCGCGTGGTGGGCCGGCTGCGCTTCGTGCTCACGCGCGTGCCCTTCACCCACTGGTTCTTCTCCTTCGTCGAGGACCCGCTCATCGACTTCGAGGTGCGCTCCCAGTTCGAGGGGCGGCCCATGCCCCAGCTGACCTCCATCATCGTCAACCAGCTCAAGAAGATCATCAAGCGCAAGCACACCCTCCCCAGTTACAAGATCAGGTGCGGGGGGTGCGGGGGTTAGGGGATAGTTGGCCCGGAGTGCGCGCCCACCCACCCAGGGAGACCCCATGTGCACTGCTCCCAGCCGAGCAGCCACGCTGCCGTCAGTACTCCCATCCAGGCCCTGAGCTTTCCGAAGCAGATCGCCAGCCCTCACTTCCCAGGCACCTCTGGGTGGGCTTGACCTTCCAGCTAGCGCGGAAAACAAGTAGTGGACCCAGCCCTTGCCAATGTCACCCTGAATCGGGATGGGAAGGCTAGCCTTCGCCAGGACTGCTGGCACCTTGTCTGGTTGGGGCTGGCAGTGTCGCATCAGGGCAGCCTGTCCCTGGGTTTGCAGCGTCTCTGGGACCACGTTGAGGCACAGCCCCTGGACATCAAGCCCAGGCAGGAAGCATGTGCTCAGGGCCCAGGGCAGTTTGGCAGCTGCCAGCCCCTGGGCCCGCTGGTTTGGGGACACACACCCCCGACCCCCGGCCCTGCAGACTCTTCCTGTTAGGCCGGGCTGCTTGTAGCTGGTTTGTCCGCCCACCCTGGTGGCCGCCCAGTGTGGAGAGGTCCCCATGCACAGAACCACTCAGGCCCGGAACCGGGCTGTGAGTTTCGTACCCAGGGCTCGAAGCCACCCTGGTGCCACAAGTTTAAGCCAATAACCCGCCGCCTGCTTGGCATCCCACCCCCTGGCAAGTTTCCCATGAGCGAGCCTGTGCGGTCCATCTAGAAAGAAGGCTACCGGTTTGAACTTGTAAAGCACTCCTGCATCTGATGTTCTTCTGTAGCGTTGGGATCCTTTGCCAGTTCTGCTTAGTGACCCCGTTTTCTCCGAAGGTCCTAGAAGAGGAAGTGGCGGGAAAAGCAGTTTGTAGAGCTGGAAGCTTCCCCCACTCGGCTGGGGGCATGGGAGTGGACTGTGGTCATGTGTGGACATCCATGGCTGCCTCCCCTAAAACAGCTGGAGTTTGACTTTCTGCTCCCTGTAAATTTCATAGTAATTATAAATTGATGTAATTTGTTGTATTTGCCCTTTGATGCCAGCTGCTCATTTCTAGACCCCTAATTTTCTACCTCAGTCACGAGCATCAGTGACCCAGATAGCCTGAGCTGTTTGATGAGCCTGGGTTTGGACTGGATTATGATTTGAGTCTGTGGCACGCTTGCATTACTAATTGTAGCCCAGGCCAAGAGCACAGAGTGACAGCTTCAGACTATGAAGTGCCCTGAAATTTTTACTGTAAAATGGAAATATTTCCATGTACGAGGTTGGTGGAGCTGCCTGTTAACTTTGATTTCTTGTCCTGTGGAGCAGAGCATACTTTTACAAAACCTCTCCTGTAAACTCTACAATATGTGACTAAATTGTAAACGACTTAGTGTTGGAGCAGTGAAGTGTTGGTTTCAAGTTGCTATCAAGTTTGATATTCTATCCCAACATTCAGTCTGGTGTTTTCTGGGGAACTTTCAAGTAATAACATTTGACTCCATTATTGGTGTTAATTGCACATTAGTCAGTGGTAACAAGATTGTCAGGAGAGACCAGTCTCTGGAGAAGGGCCTGGTGCTTGGTGCAGTGGAAGAGCAGTGAAGAGAGGAAGGCCCTCAGCCGCATGTAGGGACACCGTGGCTGCAACTGTGGCCTTAAGCATAGGAACAATTGTGACGCTGGTGCAGGGACCAGGCAGTATTTCGTTTTGTTGTGTCATAAGGTCACTATGGGTAGGAACCAAGTCTATGGCAAACAACAAGTTTACATGTCATTTTGAGATTTATTTTTAATATTTTTCTATTTATTTAAATCTGAAATAAAGTAGGACTAAAAGTTATGGGATCATTGGAGATTTCATATTTTGAGGAACTTTATCATCTCTTCATTGAAGACCATTGCCATTTAACGTATGGCAAAATTCCTTTCAGTTTACGATATCTCCAGTTTTTTGTTTTTTTTTAAGCATATCACTCAGTCTGCAAATATTCGGTGGACACCTATGTATGTGCCTATCTGGTGCATTAGGCTGCTAAGTAGCAACTTGGCCGTTCAAACCCACCAACAGCCTTAAGGAAGACAGATGAGGCTATTTGTTCCTATAAAGACTTGTAGCTTAGGAAACTCTATGGGAGTTTGAGTTTCACATTATTGTTCGTGATGCTGAGCTTTCAAGTGCTGGCTGAACAGCTAGACCACTTCAGCCCTCATGAAACAAAGTCTAGTGAAATTGAAGTAGCCGTGCTTTATAAATTAGAATGTGCTTGATGAGGCTGAAGTTACTGGGGCGCTCAGTCAAAGCAACCCAAAAAAGGATGAAGGTGAAAAGGACTGTCCCCGATGGTGTGGAATTGTCTTTTCTCTAGTTCTTCTGCGGGAAGTCTTTGAAACTGGTGATGTCGTGGACTCTGATGCAAGCATCAGATAGTAATGTGAATTAAACTACATGTAATATGCGTGAGAATTAAAATTGCTAGTATAAGTGCTTTTTTGTCACTCAGGGAAGGGTCTCAATGTAGTTAAGTAACTTACAATCAGATAAGTGGTGAAACTCAGACCTGATAAAGCCAGGCTGTTTTTTTGGCGTGGGGTGGGTGGGTGGGTGGTGGTGGTGGTGTGTGTGTGTGTGTGTGTAATTAAGCTACCATGATGCTACTCTTTTTTTCGTGTGTGTGTGTATGTGTGTGTGTGTGTGTGTGTATTTAAGCTATTATGATGCTATTCTTTTTTTTTCCAAGTAAAGCATCAGTATATCTCTACATATTAACCAAGAGTTCAGAGAAAAAGTGAATGCATTTCTTTTTTAGATTGGGAAATTTGAGATCCCTTTTAAGTCTTTGAGTGCTGACCCCTGTAGCATTTATTTTTTTAATCCAAAAGATTTGTTTCTAAATAGAATGTCTTGCTCGTTTATCCTGTTTAGCCATCTAATCTACTTAGTAAGGCTAACACAGCAAAGAAAATTGTAGTTTGTTTTAGGATCCTTTGGCACCTTGAATTATTACATAACAAATATATATTTGGCCAATTAACCCTGTTGACATTTCTCCTTTATTTACTTTTCCTTCTTCTTGTTGCTAAAGTGAGGTCGTCTAGCAAGACTGCCAGTTCCTGACATTTCACTTAGAGATGATGCTAATAGCACAAGCGGTGGTTTGCTGAAGATTCAGCTGACTGACACTTCATTTTGCCCAACTAACAGTTTGTAAAACATTGTAATATTTTGGAAACTTGAATTATAATGTAAAAAATTATTTGTACTTTTACATGTTGAAACCCACATTAGAAAGAAGTTCCTGTTTTGTTGCCTCCAGCATGTGGAGACCACCCATGTGTATGTCAGGCTAGAACTGTGCTCCGGGGGGTTTGTAGTTACTGGTGCTTCAGAAGTTGGTCACCAGACCTTTCTCGTGATCATTTTTACATCTCTTTAAGGGACTTAAATCAAGCAACTTATTTATTTTATTTAGGATATTCTCAATGTAATGTTAAATTTAAAAAACATCTTACTGGAATTTTTTTTGGAAAGATCCCTTGCTATATTTTCCAACTCTCAGCTATCTAGTGATAATAAGCAAATCTTGACGATTATGTTTTGGTATGAACTGAGTTGTTAATAATTAGTATGTAAATATTTATTTCTCTGATCTATGAAGAAGGGAGCATCTGAGTGTCTTAAGTCATGACCAGCTCATTGTCACTTTATAGCAACTTATTTGAGTTTAATCAATAGTTAGGGAACAGACATTTGGGGAAAACTTCACTTTGCAAGTCTATGGAGTATTTGCTGAACTGTTTGTGTCATAACCAATTGTTTTGTTCTTTTATTTTGAAAAGCATTCTAATATGTGTTAGTGGAAAGTTTTATTCTTAGTGACTGGAGAATGAGGAAAACCATTGTCCCCGTTCAAGGCGGGTCAAGGCTATATTTAGTTAGGTGGAGCCCTTGAGCATCTTTATTTTTATCTATGTCTTCGCTGGCTCACTCACTCATTTCAGAGAACTAAGTTAGAGTTGGACTGCAAAGCATTATACTTCATAATGGGATTTGTCAATTGAGTTATTTCTCCCTCGGTCTTTGGAGATGAAGAAGAAAAACATATCTTAATGCTAATTATACTTAAAAATTTTTTTTACTGTATAACTCTTCAAGGTTACAAATGCCCTTGATGATTCACGTCTTAAAAACTTTCAGTCAAGTCACTGAAAACTAACACAATCATTTGTAAACTTAGGTTTAATGTATTTTAACTTGCCGTATGATTGTTTTGCTTTCTGTACATAGATAGCTTTAAAAGATGCCTTTTCTTGGAAGTGCAAGCCTTGATACTTCCAGAGAGCCAAGATAATAATCTTAGTGTATTATTCTTGCAGTTGAGAGTCATGAAATAATTTAATGTTGTAGGATTTTTTGTTTTATCTATTGTGTTTTTTTGTACTGCTCAGATAAAGTCTGTTTTCACATCTTAGAGACGATGGACAGTTAAAAGTCGTGTTAAAAATAGTCATTTTATTTCAGAAAGTATTATTGAAGGCCTATCAAGGCTTAGTGTGGTGGGTATGTGGTGAAGGGGATAAAAATGGTTATAACACAATTCATGCTCTCTTAAAGTTAAAATCTTTTTTTTGGGGGGGGGGTTGGATATAAAGAACAATAAAGATATTGTAACATACTAAATTTATGGTACTTTGGTTACCTAGAGGAGCCCTGGTGGCATAGTGGTTACAGGTTGGGCTGCTAACTGCAAAGTCAGCAGTTCAAAACCACCAGCTGCTCCACAGGGTAAAGACAAGGCTTTCTACTCCCATAAAGAGTCTCAGAAACCCATAGGGGCAGTTCTACCCTGGCCAAAGTGTCACTATTGACTTGATGCAGTGAGTTTGAATTAGATTTTGGTTTTAGTGGTTTAGTTGTTAACTTTGGACTTCCAACCGAAAGGTCAGCAGGTCAAACCCACCAGCCACCCCGTGGGAGAAAGATGAGGCGGTCTGCTCCTGTAAAGGCTTACAGTCTTAGAAA